TATTAAGAGACCTAAATGGAGACATAGGCAGCAATACAATAATAATAGGGGACTTTCATATCCCACTTACATCAATGAAAAAATCATCCAGACAGAAAATCAGTAAGGAGATATCAGCCTTAAACAACATATTATACTATATGGACTTAACAGATATTTATAGAACATTCCATCCAAAAACAACAGAATACACATTCTTCTCAAGTATATACTGAACATCTTTAATAGATAGATAAATCATATGTTAGGCCAGAGACCAAGTCTTAATAAATTTAAGGATATTTAAATCACATCAAGCATCTTTTCCAATCACAATGGCATGAAATGAGAAATTACATGACGAAAAGTGGAAAATATACAACTATGTGGAGATTAAACAACATGCTACTGAATAACCAGTGGGCCAAAGAAGAAATCAAAAGAGAAATCAAAAACACCTTAAGAAAAACAAAAATGTAAACATTAACATGCTAAAATTTATGAAATACAGTAAAAACAGTTCTGTGAGGGAAGTTTACAGTGATAAATACCTACTTCAAGAAGCAAGAAAAGTCTCACACACAATCTAACTTCACTTTAATGAACTAGAAAAAGAAAATACAAAGCCCAAAGTTAGTAGAAGAGAGGAAATAAAGATTCAGCTCAGTTCAGTCACTCAGTTGTGTCTGACTTTGCAACCCCATGGACTGCAGCACACCAGGCCTCCATGTCCATCACCAATTCCAGAAGTTTACTCAAATTCATGTCCATTGAGTCAGTGATGCAACCATCTCATCCTCTGTCATCCTTTAGAGCAGAAATAAATGAAATAGAGACTAAAAAGACAACAAAGATCAGTCAAACTAAGAGCTAGTTTTTAGAAGGCAAATAAAATTGACAAAACCTTAGCTAGGCTAAGAAAAATAGAAAGGACTCAAATAAGTCAGAAATTAAAGAGGAGATATTACAAGTGATACCATAGAAATACAAAGGATCATATGAACAATCATATGCCAACAAATTAGACAAACCAGAAGAAATGGATAAACTCCTACAAACATATAGGCTCAAAGACTAAATGACGATGAAACAGAAAGTCTGAACAGACCAATCACTAGCAAGCAGATTGAATCAGTAATCAAAAACTCTCAACAAACAAAAGTCCAGGGCCAAATGGCTTCACTGGTAAATTCTATGAAACAATCAAAGAAGAATCAATATCAATCTTCTTCAAGTTCTTCCAAAAACTATAAGAGCGGGATCATTTCAAAACACAATTTATGAGGGCAGTATTACCCTGTACCAAAACCAGACAAGAGTACTACCAAAAAAAAAAATTTTTTTTTTACAGACTAATATCCTCGATGAACATAGATGCAAAAATTCTCAACAAAATATTCAGTAATACGTTAAAAAGATCACATGTCATTATCAAGTGAAATTTATTTCAGAGACGCAGGAATGGTCCAACATCTGTAAATCAGTCAATGTGATACACTATATAACAAAATGAAGACAAAAATGCTATGATCATCTCAATAGATGCATAAAAAATATTTGACAAAACTCAAATACACTCATTTATGGTAAAAATCTCAAATCTCTCAACAAAGCAGGTATGGAGGAAACATACCTTAACATAATTAATGGCACACATGACAAGCATACAGCTAACATCATACTCAATGTTGAAAATCTCAAAGCTTTTCCTCTAAGATCAGGTATAATACAAGGATGTTCACTTCACCACTTTTATTCAACACAGTATTGGAAGTTGTAGCCAGAATAGTTAGGCAAGAAAAAGAAATAAAAGGCATTCAAATTGGAAAGGAAGAAGCAATACTGTCACTGTTTGCAGATGACATGAAAATAGCTAGGAAACCGTAGAGTCCACCACAAACTAATAGAACTAATAAATGATTTCAATAATACTACAGGATACAAAATCAATTTAAAAATCTATTGTGTTTAATAACAAGCTATCAAAAAGAGAAATTGAAGAAAATAATCCCATTTACAACTGCATATAAATAGTAAAATACCTAGGAGTAAATTTAACCAAGAAGGTGAGATATGTGGATACTGAAAACTACAAAACATTAGCAAAAGAAATTGAAAAAGACACAAATAAATGGAAAGATGAAAGACTAAAAGGATCGCTATTGTTAAAATGGCAATATTATCCAAAGCAATCTACAACTTCAGTGCAGTACATATCAAAATTCTAATGGCATTTCTCACATAAAACAAACAAACAAAAAAATCCTAAAATTTGTATGGACCTGAACAGTCAAAGCAATCTTGAGAAAGAACAAAGCTGGAGGCACCATGCTCCCTAACTTCCAAGCATATTTTAAGACTATTATTACATGCAAATAGTAAAGTTTTATTGACATAAAATCAGAGACTTAGATCCATAGAACAGAATAAAGAGCCCAGAAATAAACCCACATACATATGGTCAATTAATTTATGACAAACAAACCAAGAATATACAATGGGGAAAGACAGTTTTTTCAATAAATGATGTTGGGTAAACCAGACAGTCACATGCAAGAGAATGAAGCTAGACCACTATCTTACACCATTCACAAAGTTAACTCAAAATGGATTAAAGACTTGAACATAAGACCTGAAACCATAAAACTCCTAGAAGAAAACATAGGCAGTAAGCTCCTTGATATAGGTCTTGGTAATAATATTTTGAATCTACACCAAAAGCAAAAGTAAAAAAAGTAAAAGCAGCAAAAGGGAAAATACACAAGTGGGACTGCATCAAACTAAAAAGCTTCTGCACAGCAAAGGAAACCATAAACAACATGAAAAAGGCAACCTACTGAATGGGAGAAAATATCTGCACACTAGTAACTGACAGAGAGTTGATACCCAAAACATACAATGAATTTACACAATTCAAAGGCAAAAAACCACAAATCATCCAATGAAAAAATGGGCAAAAGATCCAAATAGACATTTTTCCAAAAGAGATATATAGATAACTAACAGGGACATGAAAAGATGGTCAACATCATTAATCATCAGGGAAATGGCAAATCAAAACCACAAAGAGAGAGCAACTCAAATCTTGCAGAATGGCAAGTAGCAAAAAGACAACAAATAACAAGTGTTGGCAAGGATGCAGACAAAAGGGAAACCTTGTGCACTTTTTGTAAACACTTAAGTTAGTGCAACCATTATGGAAAATAATACAGAGAATTCTCAAAAAATTAAAAATAGAACTACCATACAATCTAGTAATTTCACTTCTGAGTATTTATCTGAAGAAAGTAAAAAAACACTAATTCAAAAAGATACATGCATCCTCGTGTTCACTGTAGAATTATTTATAATACAAAGATGAGGAAATAACCTCAGTATTTACTGATGACTGAATGGATAAAGAAATCATGGGATATGTGTATACATAAAGAATATTATTCAGCCATAAAACACAAAAAAGTTGCCACTTGCCACAGTATGAGTGGACATTGAGAGCATTACACTAAATGAAGTAATTCAGACAAAGAAAGACAGATACTCAAATGCTGTCTGATCTCTTACACGTAGAATCTACAAAAACAAACAAAAAATAAGCTCATAGATAAAGAAAACACATTGGTGGCTACAAAAGGCAAAGCTTGGATCAGAGGGTGGAAGAAATGAGTGACCAGTGTTTTGTTTTAATACACTGATTTTTTAAAAAATTTAAATGTTTTCTTCAACAAATATATAAGAAACTTAGATTGGTACAAAAGTAATTGCGGTTTTGCATTGTTGAACTTTGCCATTTGATATTGGAAATGCATTCTTAAATGTGATTGTTATACATCATTTTAATGCACATTTCTCACTTTATATTTCTTTGCTAATGACTTATTACTTACTGTTTATTTTATATTTATTTTAGTCTATGGAAAAGATGTTAGACAAAAAGCAAATTTGAACAATTTTCTTACTCGAGTTCCAAATGGGTTGGAAACCCGTGGAGACAATTAACATCAGCAACACATTTGGTCCAGTAATTGCTAATGTACTTACAATGCAGTGGCGGTTCAAGAAGTTTTGCAAAGAAGATAAGAACTTTAAAGATGAGGAGCACAGTGACCTGCAATAAGAAGCTGACAACAACCAACTGAGAGGATCGTCAAAGCTGATCCTCTTACAACTAGATGAGAAGTTGCCAAAGAACTTAATGTTGACCATTCTATAGTCACTTGGCATTTGAAGCAAATTGGAAAGGTGAAAAAGTTTGATAAGTGGGTACCTCGTGAGCTGACCACAAATCAAAAAAATCGCAACAACAATGAACTATTTCTTGATCTGATTGTGACATGCAACAAAAAGTGGATTTCACACAACAACCAGAGACAACCAGCTGAGTGACCGGACCACAGAGAAGCCCCAAAACACTTTCCAAGGCCACACAAACCAAAAAAAGGGTCATGGTCACTGTTTGTTGGTCTGTGGCCCATCTGATCCACTACAGCTTTCTGAATCCTGGCAAAACCATTTCATCTACAAGTATGCTCTACAAATTGATGAGATGCACCAAAAACTGCCACATCTGCAGCTGACACTGGTCAACAGAAAGGCCCCAATTTTTTTCCACAACAATGCCCCACCTCACGTCACACAACCAACACTTCAAAAGTTGAATGAGTTGGGCTACAAAGTCTTGTCTCATCTGCAATATTCAGCTGACCTCTCACCAACTACCACTTTTTCAAGCATCTTGACAACTTTTTTTCAGGGAAAATGTTTTCACAACTAGCAGGAGGCAGAAAATGCTTTCCAAGAATTCACAGAATCCCAAGGCATGGATTTTTATGCTACAAGAATAAACTTATTTCTTACTGGCAAAAAAAATGATTATAATGGTTCCCATTTTGATTAATAAAGATGTGTTTGAGCCCAGTTATAATGATTTAAAATTCATGGTCTGAAACCACAATTACATTTGCACCAACCTAATAAAAGGCAAAGTGAAAATATCAATAAGAGCAGCAAATCGTCTGCATTACCTCTTTGTGTTTCAAATCCAACTGACTCCTGAGAGCCTTAAGTTCCCGTTCACGGATGTCCAAGCAAGTTTCTAGAGCGTGTGTCTGTCCTTCCCATTCAGATTTTTTATGAGCTACCATTATGTCAATCTGTTTCATGAGCTCCTGCAGTTCTGCTTCACAGGATGTCAAAAATCCCCTATAAATAAGAACAGACCCTTAAGAACACAGAACATATCTCCAAGTGGCTTTTCATCTTTCACATGTAAAAATAGAGCAAATGTAAACCTACCTAAGGTGGAACAATGTCAACAAATAATCAGAAGTAAAAAACATCTCTGAGCTTTTCCCTTTAAGGCATCTAAGCCGATCACCTATTCCACAGAACAGTCTTCCTCCAGCAGCCAACCTAAAGCTTACATCATGTGGCCAAACACAGACTGATGTAGGAAGTCTGGTTTGGGAATGAGACTTCCAGAGCCAACAACTATCTCATCTTTAACATTTTAGGGAAGCTTTCTGAAGAATCCAGGCAAGCATATGTCATATTCTCAGCTAGCCAAGCAAATAAATAGCTTTGGAAACAAGTAGGAAAATGACAATACAACTTTAAGAACTGTCTTAAGAAATTCATCCTTGAGCCAAATTTATTTCAATTACTTCTTTCCAACTCATTATTAGCAACTTACTACAATCTATCTTCCTGTCAACTTACTGATGTCCATCGATATTTCAGTAGATATCAGATATTACAAAGGTAAAAACACAAGTGGACACAAATGTACTGGATTCAAAGAGGTTTCCAGGAATGGCCACAGAGAGATAACTACTAAGGCTTAAATACTTAAAAAAAAAAAAAAAACCAACTGAGAGGATCGTCAAAGCTGATCCTCTTACAACTAGATGAGAAGTTGCCAAAGAACTTAATGTTGACCATTCTATAGTCACTTGGCATTTGAAGCAAATTGGAAAGGTGAAAAAGTTTGATAAGTGGGTACCTCGTGAGCTGACCACAAATCAAAAAAATCGCAACAACAATGAACTATTTCTTGATCTGATTGTGACATGCAACAAAAAGTGGATTTCACACAACAACCAGAGACAACCAGCTGAGTGACCGGACCACAGAGAAGCCCCAAAACACTTTCCAAGGCCACACAAACCAAAAAAAGGGTCATGGTCACTGTTTGTTGGTCTGTGGCCCATCTGATCCACTACAGCTTTCTGAATCCTGGCAAAACCATTTCATCTACAAGTATGCTCTACAAATTGATGAGATGCACCAAAAACTGCCACATCTGCAGCTGACACTGGTCAACAGAAAGGCCCCAATTTTTTTCCACAACAATGCCCCACCTCACGTCACACAACCAACACTTCAAAAGTTGAATGAGTTGGGCTACAAAGTCTTGTCTCATCTGCGATATTCAGCTGACCTCTCACCAACTACCACTTTTTCAAGCATCTTGACAACTTTTTTTCAGGGAAAATGTTTTCACAACTAGCAGGAGGCAGAAAATGCTTTCCAAGAATTCACAGAATCCCAAGGCATGGATTTTTATGCTACAAGAATAAACTTATTTCTTACTGGCAAAAAAAATGATTATAATGGTTCCCATTTTGATTAATAAAGATGTGTTTGAGCCCAGTTATAATGATTTAAAATTCATGGTCTGAAACCACAATTACATTTGCACCAACCTAATAAAAGGCAAAGTGAAAATATCAATAAGAGCAGCAAATCGTCTGCATTACCTCTTTGTGTTTCAAATCCAACTGACTCCTGAGAGCCTTAAGTTCCCGTTCACGGATGTCCAAGCAAGTTTCTAGAGCGTGTGTCTGTCCTTCCCATTCAGATTTTTTATGAGCTACCATTATGTCAATCTGTTTCATAAGCTCCTGCAGTTCTGCTTCACAGGATGTCAAAAATCCCCTATAAATAAGAACAGACCCTTAAGAACACAGAACATATCTCCAAGTGGCTTTTCATCTTTCACATGTAAAAATAGAGCAAATGTAAACCTACCTAAGGTGGAACAATGTCAACAAATAATCAGAAGTAAAAAACATCTCTGAGCTTTTCCCTTTAAGGCATCTAAGCCGATCACCTATTCCACAGAACAGTCTTCCTCCAGCAGCCAACCTAAAGCTTACATCATGTGGCCAAACACAGACTGATGTAGGAAGTCTGGTTTGGGAATGAGACTTCCAGAGCCAACAACTATCTCATCTTTAACATTTTAGGGAAGCTTTCTGAAGAATCCAGGCAAGCATATGTCATATTCTCAGCTAGCCAAGCAAATAAATAGCTTTGGAAACAAGTAGGAAAATGACAATACAACTTTAAGAACTGTCTTAAGAAATTCATCCTTGAGCCAAATTTATTTCAATTACTTCTTTCCAACTCATTATTAGCAACTTACTACAATCTATCTTCCTGTCAACTTACTGATGTCCATCGATATTTCAGTAGATATCAGATATTACAAAGGTAAAAACACAAGTGGACACAAATGTACTGGATTCAAAGAGGTTTCCAGGAATGGCCACAGAGAGATAACTACTAAGGCTTAAATACTTAAAAAAAAAAAAAAAAGTCATTTGCTCTTAGTGTCAAAACAAAATTGTTTTGTTTTTTAAAAGGTGAAAATTTAAAGTGGGTTGACAGAAAGTATCCAGCTTCACACTGCTGAGATAAGGGAAACACCCCAAGGAGAGATACTGTCCACAAACATGACATGGATCAGCCTAGATTTTGTTCACATTTCTTCTTCTGTACCCAAAGCACAAAATGGTCAGAGGTGTAACTCAGACATGCTTTTTAAACTCAGTGAGAAACTTAGGGTCAAAAGCAAACTTACCCATCATGCCCCCGATTTTGTATTCCTTCCAACAAAGCCTCCATCGCCAAATCTCCTTTGTTTTGGCAACTGGGAAAGCAAAAAAGCCAGTCAGGAGAAAACTCATTTTTTATGTTGTAACATTCCAACTTACAAACTTAGGAATGTGAATGAAAGCATACAAATTAACAATGAGAAAATGCAGCACTCCTTAGGATAACTGTACAAGGGTCAAGAAATAGCTCTTCAAGAAACAGTAGAACCAAACACACTTCAAAATAACTTAAAATGATCTGTACTGCCATTGACACTTCCGAGCATGACTAAAATCAAATACCTTATTGTGGCATTGCTACTTTCTCACCTAAGAGTAGGTCTGGGTGGAAGTGGGGTGCTAGCAGCAGAGGGACACAGACACTAAGAAAACAAGAGGTCAGAGGAAAAGTGAGCTTTTTTTAAAGAGATAGTGTTAAAAGGTTAAATGTTCTGTGCTTGAACTTATTGGTCCATCATGGGAGCTCCTATTCGACTCTAGATGACAGGCGTATAAAGCTCCTAGCACAGCTGCCATCCCCTAAGAGGCAACTACTGACCTCCTTCCTCTGCACTTCATTGTTCTTAGTCCTTAGCAGGTCATTTCACTGGAGTTACATCACACTAGTGAGTGAAATGAAGTCACTCAGTCATGTCGGACTCTTTATGACCCATGGACTGCAGCCTCCCAATCTCCTTCCATGGCATTTTCCAGGCAAGAATACTGGAGTGGATTGCCATTTCCTTCTCCATACATCACACTGGAAATGTCTTTTTTCACACCCTTTTCCCTTACTATTCCACCCTCAAGGGCAGAAAACCAGTTTTATTTATAACCCACAGCTCCAGGACTTAGTGTGGCATTTCAACCTGATCTGCGCTGAATACTTTTGGCTGGCTTATATCAATTCCCCTCCCTTTTTTACCTAGCCTCCTATACAAACTGGTCTATAGCTGGAGAACTGCAGAGAAGAATCTAGCAGAGAAAGAAAGGAAGGGAGACAGAACAGACTATCACAGAAAGAGAAAGACACACCATAAAGAAAGGCAGATGAGACGAAAAAAGACCGCCCTTAACTTTGGATATGCCAAAGAACAGTAACTGCTGTAGGTTTCTCACTTATCACAAAACTTCAGAATGTTCATGTGTCAAACCACTACTCATTCCTGAAGAACTGCTTTTATCCTTCAACATTCAGAGGCTCAACTCTGAAACGTCTTCAAATTATATTGCTCTAAGAGGAGTCCTCTACTCAATAAAGAAATCAGTGTTGTCTTTCAAGGAATTAATAGTCCAGTATGGGAAAGAAAAAAATTAACTAAAATGTTTCCTTAAAGTGAAAAATACAGTAACAGAGGCATGCATAGGATGTCCTGCAGACACAGAAGAATAAGAAGACTGGAAAATACAACCACTGCATGTTATCTGCACCTATTTCTAAAGTTACTATCAGAAGTTTTAAATAACTATTCATGCATAAATATGGCAGAGAGGATTTCTTTCTAGTTGGTTTATCATTTGTATTATACCAAAATTAGACAAAATAAAAAGTTAAAGGTTTTCATGTTCTATTTCACTGTCTTTCAAACAACGATACAGTCAATTACAACAAGACAAAGATTCTGCTTTGCTCCACTTCAGGGAACTGAATGGCAGGACACAGTTCAGACAGTACTATGTAGATGAAGATCCAGGATAGAGTCTAGCTTTGTGTCCTTGAACTTCAGTTTCTTTCTTATAAAGGGGTATGACCTATATAGTTTCCAAAATTTCTTCCAGTTTTTAAAGGGATTCTAATGGTCAAATCTGAGAAGGCAATGGTACCCCACTCCAGTACTCTTGTCTGGAAAATCCCATGGACGGAGGAGCCTGGTGGGCTCCAGTCCATGGGGTCGCCAAGAGTCGGACATGACTGAACAACTTCACTTTCACTTTTCACTTTCATGCATTGAAGGAAATGGCAACCCACTCCAGTATTCTTGCCTGAAGAATCCCCAGGGACAAGGGAGCCTGGTGGGCTGCTGTCTATGGGGTCACACAGAGTCGGACACGACTGAAGTGACTTAGCAGCAGCAGCAATGGTCAAACACATATATACTGTAAGTACCATGCTCTTGACAACCCTATGTGGATATTTAGATTTAGTAACATAATACACAATATATTTTCTGGATGACATTATTTAGTAATTAGCAATATTTATTTTGTTGTTGTTCAGTCACTAAGTCATGTCTAACACCACGGACTATAGCACACCAAGCTCCTCTGTCCTCCACTAGCTTCAGGAGTTACTCAAATTCATGTCCAGTGAGAAGCTAAAAGTCACTGAATGCTCAACTGTTCTGCATTGTCTATATTGTCTAATTCAATCTTCATAACAATCATAAAAGATACATACTATCATTTTGAGGAAACTGAGGCTTGAAAGGTTAACTTGACTATGGCAAACTACAAACCTCAGCCCCAGGACTCAAACCTAGGCAGTGTGACTCCTAAGCTCCAGCCAATATGTGATCTTTATATATTTTACAGTATTCCAGATCTTAAAATACATCATCATATCTTCTTTTGATTTAATCTTCCTGATATAAACAAAGTGGAACCATTTTGAAAAGTCTGGACACAGGAAGAAACAAACACAAACTGAACTATGACACCACCACTATGGACACCAGAGGGCAGTAGCACAATCGTGAAAATAGCCCATTTCAGAAATTAAAATCATGGTCTAAGTCTAAGACAATGAGATCTGTTTTAAACAAAAGGTGGGGGTGATGTAGGGAAGATAAGTAACATTTGCTACAGAAAATAATCTAATATATAATGTTTTTTTAAAAAATACTTTCACCATCTCCTTGAGGAGCTAACAAACACCATCGCTTCTCCTTCCTGAGGATCAGGTAAATAGCAAGAACTCAGATTTTCTATGGACTTTTCTGAGTTTCTCGCAGCTATATCATGAACTCCTTTCCTAAACAATCTGACCCTCATTCAGCTGCATGCAGTACATTACTTTGCTTTCTTTTTTGGCCTGTTCCATGCAATAATTATGTAAAGTCTATTCTTTGTCCAAAATAAATACAATTTTAAGTATTACGTTGGTGCAAAAGTAATTATGGTTTTGCATTATCGAACTTTGCCATTTGATGTTGGAATACATTTTTACATAAATGTGGTTATGTTATACATTTTAATGCACAGTTCTCGCTTTATATTTTTTTGATAATGACATTACTTTTTATTTTATATTTATTTTAGACTAGGGAAATGATGCTAGACAAAAAGTAAATTTGAACAATTTTCTTGAGTTCAAAATGGGCCATAAAGTAGCAGAGACAACTCACATCAACAATGCATTTGGCCCAAGAACTGCTAATGAATATATAGTGCAAGGGTGGTTCAAGAAGTTTTGCAAAGGAGACAAGAGGCCTGAAAATGAGAAGCATAGTGGCCAGCCATCAGAAGTTGACAACAATCAACTGAAAGGATCACTGAAGCTGATCCTCTTACAACTACAGAAGTTGCTGAAGAACTGAACATCAATCATTCTATAGTCATTTGGCATTTGAAGCAAATTGGAAAGGTGAAAAAGCTTGGTAAGTGGGTGCCTCATGAGCTGACTGCAAATAAAAAAAAAAAAACCTCATTCTGAAGTGTCATCTTCCCTTATTGTACGCAACAATGAACCATTTCTCGATCAGACTGTGACGGGTGATGAAAAGTGGATGTTATAGGATAACTGGCAACCACCGCCTCAGTGGTTGTACTGAAAAGAAGCTCCAAAGCACTTCCGAAAGCCAAACTTGCACCAAAAACGGGTCATGATCACTGTTTGGTGGTCCGCTGCCTGTCTGAGCCACTACAGCTTTCTGAATCCCAGTGAAACCATTATATCTGAGAAGTATGCTCAGCAAATTGATGAGATGCACCAAAAACTGCAATGCCTGCAGCTGGCACTAGTCAACAGAAAGGGCCCAATTCTTCTCCTCGACAATGCCTGACCACATGCCGCACAATCAACACTTCAAAAGTTGAACTAATTGGGCTACAAAGTTTTGCCTTATCTGCCATATTCACCTGACTCAACCAACTACCACATCTTCAAGCATCTTGACAACTTTTTGCAGGGAAAATGCTTCCACAACCAGCGTGGTGGCAGAAAATGCTGTCCATGAGTTCATGGAACTCCAAGGCATGAATTTTTATGCTACAGGAGTAAACAAACTTATTTGTTGTTGGCAAAAATATGTTGACTGTAATGGTTCCTATTTTGATTGGGCTTCCCAGGCGGCGCTAGTGGTAAAGAAACCGCCCGCCAACGGAGGAGACATAAGAGACATGGGTTCAATCCCAGGGTGGGGAAGATCTCCTGGAGAAGGGGATGGCAATCCACTCCAAAGGACTGGAGAACCCCAAGGACAGAGGAGCATGGCAGGCTACAGTCCATGGAGTTGCAAAGAGTCAAACATGACTGAGCAATTTAACATGCTATTTTGGTTAATAAAGATGCACTTGGGCCTAGTTATAATGATTTAAAATTCAGTCTGAAACCGCAATTATATTTGCACCAACCAAATAATTAGTTTGATAATCTGTTACTCCCTGCCATTAACATAAAATGTTAAAGTAGTTAAATGGAAACTTTGTAGCTCTAAAAATTGGTATAGGACAAGCTTAGTCATTTCAGCATTTAGACCAAGACATCAACAAACAAAAGTTATAATTAAAAATCTCCATTGGAATGAAGATTGTTTTAAATCAGTGAAATCTAGAATAAGGTGCTTAAAGGAAATACAGACTTTTTCATCAAGTCTGGAAAGCTGGGAAAACATACTTTAAATCTTAAGAGAAAAAGAATCCAAAGAGGGTATCTAATAATGGGCAAATCTTTGAAATTCATTAATATATTGGAATTTAAGAGCTAGAAAGGACCAGAAGGCCTCCCATTTAGCTTCTTCAGTTTATAGATCAGGAAAAATACCCATAGGTATGTGCTTGAGATCAAATTATTCACAAAATGGGACATAGAAAGAAAATAAATCTAGTTGGAATTATGAATTATTCCTAAGAGAAAGAATATGTCTATTCATCAAGTTTCATTTTAAAGGAGGATTACAATGCTTTGTCGCTTACCTGCCTTGGTGTTACTGTGATTACAAAGATCTATGGCTGTGTCAGATAGACTGTGACTGAAAAACTGTACCTGCTCCAATAAATAATCAATATCATTTACAAATGACCAGAAGGATTCCTACTTAAACTTAAGGGAGAAAATTATCAGATAAAAGATCAAAGAAACCTTCCAAAATAAAAACGAAATTTTAAAACACGGTCTAAATTATGATTCCAAATTCAGAAAGAATAAGGGCAAAGACTAAGAAATCTTTAGTAGCTAAAAATACAATTTTACATGGCAAAAATGCTGTAAGCAAAGCTGAAAGATAAATGACAACAATATTTAAAGTTTTATCACAAGGGGTTAATTATCCAAACGCATGGCTTCTAAAAACTGAAGGGAAAAAAGAAATCTATAGAAAAATGGGCAGAAGATATGAACAAAGAGTTCACAGAAAGAGAAATCCAAATGACCTTAAACATATGAAAAGATGCTCAACCCTGTTCACAGTAAGAGAAATATAAACTACATGTTATGCATAATTGTCAAAATACATTAAGCATATAAAATTATATACAGATATATAATATATAGTGCATTTGTTCTTATGCAAGGATAAACCCCAACTGGTAAATGTGATACCTGGAAGAAAGGGAAATAGTCAGGGTGGAGAAAACAGGAAGCTAAACTTCTCAGGATGGATCTTAATGGGTACTTGTTTTATAGGCACTATGCCAATGTTTTACTAATGATGAAACAAATCCAAATGAGCGGGGAAAAAAAAGCAGTATGAAAATTACTGGAAATGAAATAACTATCAACTAGATACCAAGTTGGCAGCCTTACCATGTAACAAATTGCTTCATATGCTTTGAAAACACAACTTTACTGTACATATTTCAAGTGGGGTAGGTACTAAGGACAAAAAGTACTACAAAGAAATCCTAAACACCATTTAGGAAACAGTTAACAGTAAATTTGGTATCCTTAATTGGAAAGAATTACATACAGGAAAAAAGTAACTGTTAATAAGCAAAAGAGAAAAAGATATAAAAATATAAAATCAAGTGTTTTTAAAAAGCTATGAAATTAAATTGGCAATATCAATGTGAATTCTGTATGTTTCTTGTTTTAAAAATGTACCTATTTCTTAACTTTTGCTACTGTAAATCCTAAAACTAATGGCCAACCTAGTAGCAAGAGCACCTCTAGCACCCAGATTTGTCTCTCAAATCACCACAAGGAACCAGGGCTTCTTGGTGGCCAGAAATGTATAAGGAGCCAGAAACATGTTTTAAAAGAAAATAAGGAAACTCTCAAAGACTACCACTAGTCACATCAAAGTAGACAAGAGCCAACTTAAACAGGCTGCCACTTGCCAACAACTTGAGTATGCAAAAAAAAAGAAGACTGCAATAGATTGAGACAGTTTAAATAAATTCAAATCTATAAGTTCATGATGATTAAAAAAAAAAAAAAGAAAATCCTCATGGTTACCTTTGAAGGTTGCTAGGCCACCAACTCATTACTGTGCTCTGAAAATAGAGGGAAACAATTAAGCATTTTTCTTGCTTTTCCTGTACAAACTGTATTTCAAATAGCTGGTGGGGTAATCAAACAGCTGGTGAGTTTAAAAGTTCTTCATAAAAAATTTCCAGCTAATAAATATTAAGGAATGATGGAATTAGAAAATCACTATATTGCAGCCCCTAATGCAATAATGGATATAAGCAATTTTAAGTGAATGGTTCATGGATAATTTCATGATGAATGGATGGGGCTGACAATACCTGAACCCACACTGCTCAATCTTAACATTAAGAAAGAGAAAAACTCAAAAGTAACTTGCCTCACTGAAGTATTTTGCACCAACAGTGAAATCTTCCTCTGCCTGCTCCCCCAAAAAAGTCAAGGTTGAATCTGATCAAGCTTCTAGATGAGTGCTGATCAACAGAATTTTATGCAATTATGAAGACACTTTATATATGCAGCATTTGAAGAGTAGCTATTTGGCATGTGTGACTATTAGACACTTGAAATGTGGCCAATGCAATAAGAAAACTGAAATTTTTAGTTTTATTTAATTTTAATTCATTTAAATAGCCACAGGTGGCTGACACCTACTATATGGACAGTGCAAGTCTAGATCTCACTGCAAGTTTATTCCCTTTAAAGGAAATAAAGGGAATAGGTGTACAAGTTAAAAGATGGCATCTGGATGCAATCAACTAAACCTAGAATGTTAAGGCAAAAAAGGGAGGCAACAAAACTGTAACATTAAAAAAGATTGAGGGACTTCCCTGGCAGTCCAGTGGTTAAGATTCTGCCTTCTAGTGCAGGGGGTTGCTGGTTCCATCCCTGGTAGGGGAGATAAACTGCCACATGCCAAGTGGCCAAAAAACCAAAACATAAAACAGAAGCAATATTGTAACAAATCCAATAAAAGACTTTAAAAATGATCTTCATCAAAACAAAGCAAAAAAATCTTAAAAAAACAGAAAAAGACTGAAAAAGTGTATCAACTCAATGCAACACATAGATCTCTATGGGATTTTAATCCAAACAAGCTGATTTTAAAAACACATATATGGGACAGGTGGGAAAATCTGAACCCAGATTGAATACTGACAGTGTTGTTCAGTAATACTGACAATGTTGTTCAGTCGCTAAGTCATGTCCATCTCTTTCCAACCCCATGGACTACAGCACCCTATCCTTCACCATCTCCTGGAGTTTGCTCAAACTTATGTCCAATGAGTCAATGATGCCATTCAACCATCTCATACTCTTCTATTGCCCCCTTCTCTTCCCACACTCAATCTTTCCCAGCATCAGGGTCTACAGGATTTTTACTAATTTTCATAGATGTGATGACAAAACTGTGGTTTTGTAAAGCTGAAAACACAATCTGAGTTCTTGAAGAAAAAAATTTTAAGTAACACAGAAACCAAAAATTCAATTCCTGAAACCCAGGTCAGTGTCGGTTTTAGCTGAATTTCAAATCAAGCTGACATATGTTTAAAAGTAGAAAGCTCTAATAAAGTTGACTACTGATGCTGTTACCATCCAATACCACTACTACCTTAATTGAGAACGTGAAGGACAAGCAAAGTTGTTCTACCTTTAAACGTGAGACAAGTGGCATCAATACAGTTAATACATACAACAACTACATTAACTGTTAAAACCTGAATCTACATCCATTTTAAAGAGTAGTGTAACTAAATGTTTATAAATATTTAGCCCATTTTAATTTCAGTCATTCTTACTATACTGATCACTGATGATATAGTCATAAAGGCAAGAAGCTCAATAAAAACCTAGTAATACTACATTTCAAATAAGAAAATATATACCCTTTATTATATCATTAAGCTACAGCTATGATCAGTATAGAAATATTTGAAGGTAACGTGTAGTTAATGATCCCTATGGTTTCCTCTTCGCATCTAGAAAATAGTTAAATGCAAGCATGTGGGGAACTGTATAACCACAGGGCACAAATCCTACAGTACTGTTTTATTAAAGGAAGAAAAAAAAATGTTCAGACTGGTTTAAGGAACCGTTTATAAGGCTTAATTAAGGAAAACTACTCTGCGCAATACGTGTGCTCTAACTAGTCGCTGTAAATGAACACGAGTCGCTGACAGCAAGCTCACTTTTACTCGGATGTTGTAAAAACTACATTATAAGCCTAGCTTTACTGCTTTCAAATATGTTCACGATTATAGTGTTCTATGGACCCATCCCTTTTGTTCTCTCACTTTATTATTTATTTCGCATCCCTGATTTCTACGGAGCAATCAGTAAGTTCAGGGTTCCCCAAACTCAGTCCTTCATGATTTCTGCCACATTACCGTACCTCTGGAACTAACATTACGGTTTTTAAACCAATTACTTTTAAAAACTTGCTAAATTTCCCACCCATAAATGAACCGCTATCACCGGCCGTCAGTAACTAAGTCCAACAAGGCTAGGAAGCTAACCAGATGAGGCAGCCCAGGCGGGAAGGCTGGGCCGGGGTAACTCCCCAGAAGTGGCAGACTGGCTCGCTGCCGACTCCGCTGGGAGAAGAGGAGCAGCTCGCCCACCCCGCCGCCCTGCCTCAGGGGAAGGGCTGACCACCTGGCTAGCCCGGACTGCGCGCCGTGGGAGGCCATATCTGGCTTCGCGGCTCTGCGAAGCGTTCGCGGCGAGGAGGAGGGGCGGGGCGCCGGGGCGGAGCCGGGCCGGCGGAGGCGAGCCTGGAGGCCAGCGGGCGGCTGAGGAAGTCGGCCCCCGGCCATTCGGCCGCTCAGTCCGCGGCCCCACTGCAGCCAGGGCTGCCTCCGGTTCCGGACACGGGCACCCGTCGCCTGTTCGACTCTCACACATGCGGTTACAGGCCTGCCACGAGCGCGCCTCCGAGTCTTCCCGCCGTTACCTCCGGACGGGGGCGCGCACGCGCGTCACCGCCAACCTGACGTCCAGTCACGGCCGTCGGAACGTTCGTTCCGCCTACAGCTCCCTCACTTTTGATTGAAGCAACGTCCTCCTTGACTCCCCCTCCACCCGGCCAAATGGGCTCACCGACATCCGGGGATCGGAGAGCAGGGCGCGTTGGTCACATGACCGCTGGAGGCGTGGTCCCGGCCGCGCTGGGCCAGTGCCGGTAAAGGTTTCCCGCGCCCTGGCTTAGGTAGTGTACGGGAGGAGCACGTTCGGGTTTCTGCCGATTCTATCGGCCGAGGTTGTTGTCCTCACCTCATCCTCATAACTACCTCCCTTACCGCACGTCGGGAGGGTAGAAAGGGACTTACACGGCGGTCCTGGACTTCCCCCGCTTCCGCATTTGGTATAGCCCGCCTTGGACCGGAAGCCGAGGCTGTGGGGCGGGATCCCATGCCTGTACGGATGGTGGTGGCCCGAGAGGGTCATATTTAATGGGGGGAAAGGCATTCCAGGTTTGCTCTTTTAACTACAAGTTTACGGAGCTCTAAAACAGAGGTGAATAAAACTGCCCCTGTCCCGGAGAAACGCACGCACCGCTTGTCTGGGAAGACAGCTCCCTCACTTTTGATTGAAGCAACGTCCTCCTTGACTCCCCCTCCACCCGGCCAAATGGGCTCACCGACATCCGGGGATCGGAGAGCAGGGCGCGTTGGTCACATGACCGCTGGAGGCGTGGTCCCGGCCGCGCTGGGCCAGTGCCGGTAAAGGTTTCCCGCGCCCTGGCTTAGGTAGTGTACGGGAGGAGCACGTTCGGGTTTCTGCCGATTCTATCGGCCGAGGTTGTTGTCCTCACCTCATCCTCATAACTACCTCCCTTACCGCACGTCGGGAGGGTAGAAAGGGACTTACACGGCTGTCCTGGACTTCCCCCGCTTACGCATTTGGTATAGCCCGCCTTGGACCGGAAGCCGAGGCTGTGGGGCGGGATCCCATGCCTGTACGGACGGTGGTGGCCCGAGAGGGTCATATTTAATGGGGGGAAAGGCATTCCAGGTTTGCTCTTTTAACTACAAGTTTACGGAGCTCTAAAACAGAGGTGAATAAAACTGCCCCTGTCCCGGAGAAACGCACGCACCGCTTGTCTGGGAAGACCCTGTAACGGGCAATGTAACAAGCTCCTGATGGGGCCCATTCAATGCGCCCAGGGAAATATGGAACCTGCGGAGGGGCGGATACCGCGTTCTTCTTGGAGCTTAGAGAAAGCTTCCTGCAGGAAACAACCTGGGAGCTAAGTTGTTTAGAGTAACTGGGGGTTAGCTGAGGAAAAAAGGAAGAAGACAGCATTCCAAGCTTTGGGACAGTCACGTGTGTGAGAAAGATTTTGTTCAGGAAAGTGGTAACGGTTCATTATGGGGACTGGCAAGTGCCTGGGACGGTGGCTGTGGCCTGTTCATTGCCCGCCTTGTACTTTCCAGGCTTCCAGCCCCTGAAGAGTGAAGGCACTTTGACGCCTAACTCTGGACAAGAGATGTTGGCCCCGATGAGCTGACACCCAACTTTGAGTTTGGAAGGAAAAGTAGGTGTTCGTGATGGGGCAAAGAGACCTTTTTAGGTACAAAGGCTGGAAAGTGTGACAAGTTAGATGTATTCTAAAGAAGAATAGGTGAAAAACGATTTGAGGCCAAATTGGGGGAAAACATGCTGAATCATTAATAAGAAATTTACGCACAGCAATTGGAAACAATAATGCTTGAACGATCAGTCACAAAGCCAACTTAACTTGCCTAGTGAATCATAAAAACAAGGAACCATTCAAGGGCAGAATGCATGCTGACGCCGAGTGATCCAAGAAAACTGTACCAAAAGAATTAATAAGAAATTTACGCACAGCAGTTGGAAACAATAATGCTTGAACGATCAGTCACAAAGCCAACTTAACTTGCCTAGTGAATCATAAAAACAAGGAACCATTCAAGGGCAGAATGCATGCTGACGCCGAGTGATCCAAGAAAACTGTACCAAAAGGTGGAATCTATGTGTGACTAGGAAGATCAGCTGGGAGGTACTGTGATGTTATAAAGAAACTGTAATCTAATCCAGGTGAGATGAGTCTTTCCCTGGATGATCCTATGCCAAACCATCCACACTTGAAAGCCTAGAGAACCCTAGTGCTGGATTACATCATCTTTTCATTCTTCATGTTTAAGAAATAACCTCTTTGGTTTACAGGTCCCATCCGACAAGATCAAAGCTGCAAGAGAATGGACAGTGAGGTACAAAGAGATGGAAGGATCTTGGATTTGATTGACGATGCTTGGCGAGAAGACAAGCTGCCTTACGAGGATGTTGCAATACCACTGGTAGGCTGTAATGTGTGCTGAGGGTGATGGGTTAAAGGTCTGATCTGGTAGACCCTAGTAGCTGTAGGTTATCAATGGACAAATAAACTAAAGTCAAAGAAATCAAAACTGTGGAGTCCTCTGACTCTAGAAACCTCTGGAGAGCATTTAGCTCAACTTTGTATTTGAAGAGAAATGTGATTCAGATTGCTGAGGTGACCAGCTCAATTAGAGGTCATATGAGAACTGGAACTGAGGTCCTCTGAGCTATGTTCTGTCCAGCACACCAAAAGTAGTAAAGAATTTAATGCACACCATGAGGAGGAACAAGAAACAGTGGTATATGCACTTAATTTCTCTACCTGTGGCCTGTCATTTTTAGAAACTCACAGTTTTGGAACACATACCTAGTTGAAGTTCCCTGGAAAATATTCAGAAGAGACCTGGCTTTTCTTCTTTTACATTTAGATCATCAGGCTCTTTTCTTCCCTAATCTCTGGAAAATTCTCCAGGGAGTTTGTTAAGCCTCACGTCGTAAGATCTAAACGTTTTGCTTGAATAAATGCTTACTAAAAATTCTGTTTATGTCATTGAGGCCTAACAAGAAGAACAAGGACTGTTTTTCTTTAGAGCCTGCCAAGAGTTGTTGATTAAATAGAGCTTGCGAGCAGGGATCTGCTGCTGCCATATATGTATTCATTTAAGAATAAGAGGTAATGTGTTCAAGGAATAATACACATAACAGATAATAAATGACAGCTTAGTTCAAGTTTAGAAAAATAATCAACAGAGCATAATAAGAATTATAGCTCTGCTTTGATTGAATACCTGTTTTGTGCCATGGACTGAGGTTGAAACCTGATGTATTTTATCTATATCCTTAAAAGAACCCTCGGGGGTGATGATGATGTCCACACTGTACAGGAAGAAAATAGGATCAAAGAGGAGATCTTGCCCAAAGGTTGGTAGCTAATAAGCTGGACTTCACACTGAGGTCTGTGAGGCTCCAGATCCTGCCCTGTGGACTTTTGTTGGTTCTTTCGTTCTGCAAGCAATTCTTTGAAGCCTATTGTGTGCCTTAAGACTAGGTGAACATTAGGACGTTTTCTGCCCCTCTGAGTCTATAAAGGCAACATATGTCAAAAAATAATTGTAATAGTGTTCTGAGTGGAGGTCATGAACGGCTATGTAGTCTAAAAAGTGACTGTTTGCCTGGTGGGCATTTGAAGGGGCTTCAGAAGGAAAATCACATTTAAGCTGGTCGTAGGGGAGGAACAGAGGGTTAGTGAGAGTGGACAAGCAGTGGGAACAGACGTGCAAAAGTTTCAAATGGCTTTGGGAGATGGTAAGGTATTCAGTGGAGAAGTATTCAGTGGATGGAGAATATAACTGTCATAAGTAAGAAAAGTTGGTCTTGGACCTTGTTTTGAGAGGCGCATTTGATACCAAGCTTACCCCTCATCCTGAGGTGTGAGGATCCTCAAAAGTAGAGATCTGCTATGTTAAAAAATACTAGAAAGTCAGTTCAGCAGCATTATTAAAGAATGTCTGCCAAGGAGAAAGGAGCCAGTGACAGAGCAGAGAGGCCAGTTAGGAAGCTAATGCAGTGTCTAGACAAAGGAGGAGGGTCTAAACAAAGGCAAGAAAGTGCAGAGGAATTGCTCAATTCTGGACATGCTAACAGCAGGATTTGGGGACCATTTGTGTGAATGGGGTTGAGGGAGAGGGAAATTTCTATGCTGACTTCCAAGCTATAGCCTGGCCGTGTTGCTAATCCATGTCTTTTTCCCAGGGCTTGTGATCCTAAGGCAATGTTTGTGTCAGTTAGGCTTTGCTGCTGCCTGACAAATATCGCCAAAATATAGTGGCTTAAAACAATAGCTATTTAATGTCATGAGTTTTCTTGTCTTTGCCAGCATGGTTGATCCCTGATGGACTTGGTGGTGGTTTGCAGTGGGCCAGCAGACTAGCTGGTAGCTAAGTAATTCTGAGGCTTTGACATGTCTCACAGTGAGCAGGCTGCCAGCTGGAATGATGAACTAACTAGGCCACAGTCTCATTACTCAGCAGATTAGCCCAGACTTCACATAGTCATTTTCAGATTCTCAGAGCAGGGTGAGAGGAAACTGCAAGGCTTCCTGGAGCCTAGACCCAGAAGTCACATGACCAACCCCAACCAAGGGTTGAGGAAATAAACTCTGACTTTTCATAGGAGTAGCTGCAAAGAATTGTGGCCATTTTTGGACACTTTATTTTCCAGGCACATAGGCAATTTTATATGTTGGCATTTGTTGCAAGAGACAATAGTGACCAAATTAAAGACATGCTTATTTTAGAATGAGATGAAATTAAATAATTGATTAACCAAAGACTTGTTTATGCTTTGTCATCTATAAATAGTTATTGAAACCAAATTTTCTCTTTGAGTGCGTTATTGCTTTACAGTAAATGATAATTCCTTTCAATTTGTACAAGTATGTTTGAATCTGAGTTTTACCTTTGTAGAGCAAAATGTATGTGATTCAGATATACTTGTACATCTTAGAATTAAATCATTTTATTCATAATGAATGTCATTTTGAAGGAAAAAGTTATTATATTCATATACTGCAAGTTGGAGTCCAGTGGAAAATCATAAGTCTGGATATTGAGTAACAGTTTGCTCCCCTTAAAAATAAGTCTAAATTAATATAAATGAAAAGAAATATATTGGTATCAGAGAATTCTAGTACTAAGAAGAGTTCTGATAGTAACAAATTTAAATACAAGGAACCTATCAAAAAATTCTC